CATTTTTGCCTCATGTTTTTTTTTTTTTTTTTGCTGGAGGTTAACAACCTTTCCAGAACGTTGCACATCTGAATCAGAGGCATTTTAACAGCAGGGTAACAGTAGCCTTAATTGCATGCAAATATACAATGGATAAAAAGTAGAATTGCACGAATCTCACACAGAAATATCTGGGTCATTTTTCACCCCAAAATTAAAAGGAAAAAAATAATAAAGTATATTTTGCATAAAGAAAATTAAGCCTATTTTTAGAACCAGTTGGCTTGTTTGCATCATTTAATTAAATCCATCAAAATTTAACAAAATTCTCATTACAAAAATGCAAAACAACTTAATTTGAGTATTATAGTAAAAAAAATGTATCCCTTTTTATATTATAAATTCCATACTATTAAAATTATTCAATATTCTCCTAAAATATTTTCTTTTTTTTTTTAATTCAAATATAATTGATTTGTTTTTGAGGTGATGAAATATGACCCGGAAATGTTCTCGACCGTTTACATGAGGTTCAACCAATTGCTCTCATTGTCAAGTGCAGTTCTGGATGTGGACATTTTAGGTGTTTGGTTTGAGCTGAGATCGACTGAAACATCCACTCGCTTGTTTTTATGAACCATCTCGTTTTAGTTGATGTTTGGCTGAACTTTACGACGGCTGTTATAGCGAACACACTACCAGATGTTCCATGAGAGCAAACTTGAGTGACATTCACTCACTAACAACTAAAGTCTCAAATGCTTTTAACCTGTTTTTCGTTTTCTTTTTTAAATGTATGCACCTTTTGTAGTGTGAGAGGAGGCAGATGATATATTGAAAGCACTGTTGTATTTCTTTACATGACTGCCAAGTGGTTACGAGGCTTACTGGTACTGACTGTCAAGCACTACGTGGAGTAGATAGAACCGAAACACTGCATTGTCAAGCCTGGCTGTGATGAACAAAAAGTTGGCCTTTCTGTTAAACTAATAGGGCAAATATGAGCGCTGTGTTTACACTAATATCAGAAATGGCGAGAGAGATCGAGCTCAGTACAGTATGTGAACAGATGTGACACCCGTTGTTTAATTTTTCTTAACTCGCAAGTCTCCGTTTTTCCTTTCTGTAGGTCATTTCCTCACACCGTTTGAATGCATGGTAATCATTCTCAGCGCATCAAACACCTTTGCGTCTGAACTGGGTTTGTAGGGTAGTTTACAGCAGCTTCTACTAATTCTAATGTCACATTTTATGGCCTCCATGATTGGCACTTGGAGATTGTGCTCATGTTTTATTAATCCCTCATTGGAAAAGAAAAAGCAACTGAGAAACAGCAGTGTTGCCTGTGCTGACAGATGAGATTTTTTTCACCAAAGTGTGAATATATGAACTGAAAGTGAACAGTCTCTGATTTAGAGAAATGTTCATCTACGGTGGCTTTCCTGTGTTATAACCATTCTTATGAAATTGTCCTATTTAAATAAATCTCATTCAAAAGCATTTGGGTGAAATCATTGTTTCATTTGATGCTATCTAGAATTTTTGTGTCTGTCTATCAGTCTAGTCAAACATATGTATGCATATGTACTGCTTATTATATTAATTTCATTAATTTGTTAATCTTTAAATGTACTATATATACATGCATACATACAGTGCCTTGTGAAAGTATTCATACCCCGTCAGTTTTTTCACATTTTATGTTAAACTGCTTTAAATTACTTTTTTTCCACATCAATCTACACTCCATACACCATATTAACAAAGCAAAAACAATATAATATAACTAAATATTTTGCTGAAGCTCCTTTACAGTCTCAAGACTTTTTTGTTTGATGTGACAAGCTTAGCTAATCAGCATTTGGCAATTATCTGCCATTCTTCTCCTCACCTCTTCAGCTATCAAGCTCTGTCAGGTTGGATAGGGGCAGAAGCACATTTTCAGGTTTCTCCAGAAATATTTGATTGGGTTCAAGCTCAGGCTCTGGCTGGGCCACTCAAGGACATTCACAGAGTTGTCTATAAGCCACCCTTGCTGTGTGCTTAGGGTCATTGTCCTGTTGGAAGGTGAACCTTCTGCCCAGTCTGAGGTTCTGAATGCTCTGGACTGGGTTTTCTCAATATTTTGCTGCACTGAGCGTTTCTTC